GTGCCCCTTACAGGTCTTGAGTGTGACCACCGGGGTGGTTTTAATGAGGTACAAATCCCACACTCCCTAGTCTTTCTCCCCAGAAAGCTAGCCTATTAAAGTTTTCCCGAAGTCATGAAAAAAATGACTTCACTTCGAGATGTGGATAGAAAATCTGAGGAGCTTAAACCAATATCAAACGACAGTTCAGAACAAAGTCAAGCAAACAGACAGACAGATAGTCATACTTACCGATTAAGTACGAATAAAATTCCAAAAACGATTACTATTCGTAGACCGAAATACAACTTACTCTAGTTTAGTGTTTGGCAACTTGGCGGCGTTTCACCCCCAAGTCTCATAATACCCTTAGTCATTTGAGACTCCAGTCGTGTCGAATTGCCATCCCATTGAATGAAGAGTGTGAGGGAACTGAGAGTGCACCTGTATTTACACACATGATTGTGCACTATAAGTCTTTACTGTCGATTGACAGCCGAGAACGATTTACCAATGATATATTATTGTGCTTATTAAATATTAAATAGCAAAAAGTATAACATAACTTCACGCTTTTTATCCCCGAGGGGTAGGTAGAGGTGCACATTATGATACTTAACGCCACTGTACAAAAATTCGGGTGTTAACCCACATTTCACTATTTATGTTATGAGTCCCATGTAATAGGAGGTGAGCCTATTGCCATATACCGGGCACAATTCTAGACTCCGTCCCACTTGTACGCCGGGGTCGTGCGGTCCATGGCCCTCTACGGCGCCCCTATTTGGGCGCCGAACTTGTTGCGGCGTCCTGCTCGGACGCTGCTCATGTCACAGAGGGTCATGGCGATCCGAATGATCCGCGGATACCGCACGATCTCTGGGGAGTCGGCGAACCTCCTTGCCGGATTACCGCCGTGGGATCTGGAGGCGAAGGTGCTCGCGCGCGTGTATAACATGCGCGCGGAGGCACGTCGCCGGGGCGAAACTCCGCTGCCGCGCCAAATAAGTGCGTGGCGGGATGAGCTCCGGCGCGATCTCATGGCGGAATGGCAGCAGCGACTGTCGCAACCGAGGGCTGGGCTCGCTGCCATCGCAGCGGTAAGTCCCCTCTTTGAGGAGTGGCTTGAGAGACGCTACGGCGTCCTCACCTACCGCCTGACGCAGGTCCTCACCGGACATGGCAGCTTCGGGAGGTACCTGTGTCTGATGGGGCGGGAGGAAACGCCCGGGTGTCATCACTGCGAGGACCGCCCTGAGGACACGGTGGAACACACAGTGGGAGAATGCCCTGCGTGGGCTGAGCACCGCCGTGCCCTCGGGGAAGTGATCGGCGATGGCGACCTCTCGCGTCCGGGCCTAGTGAAGGCCATGATGCGGAGCGAGAGGGACTGGGATGCCGTCTCCTCCTTTTGCGAAGCAGTCATGCTAGCTAAGGAGGAGGCGGGACGCGTGAGGCAGCGAAGCGCTGCCTCCTCGCAACCCAGCCATCGCGAAGGACACACCGGGCGTCGGGGATCGCGGGACGATCTCCGGCCACCGTAAGCGCGGGCCTGCGGACGGCGAGCATGGCTATCAGAATGTCATTCCATCGAAAACTCCTTTCTTTTTCTCTAAAATCTTCTAATATGCTTCACACAATCAATTACCAACTACAATGAGCAAAATAATTCATAATAATTATTTTCATTATTATTTTAATAAAACTTTTAATCACCCGATTCTCGATTAGAGCAAATCGATTCTAATCTTACTAAATCTGCCTAAACGGGACTCCATTCCTTGGTTGCGATACAAGCAATTGATTTTAATTCCATCGTAAACACCGTCACATAATCGATTCGAGTGTCTCGACTGACAGAGTACGGCAGTCAGTGTGTTCTTGCCTGTTTTATTCGATTTAATGAATATTCATAAATATTTTTATAGTCTGTATCGATTTGAATATTCGAATAGTGTTTGCACGAGTTTTTGTTGCACGTTCCTTTACTACTATGTATATTGTTGATCGATTGGTTTAAATTTGAACCGAGTTCTGAAAAAAAAAACGATTCGCATTCTGAAAATCATGAATCAATCCACATCAGATAATGATGAAACGATGATACAATTAAAATGTTTCCTACATAGTCGGCAACGTACTTGTTATGTCTTAGGTACCTACCATAGAGAAGCTGTACGTAAGCCTTGTACCTTAAAAATACTCAGATATCAGAAATTAATATTATAAAATTGTTATAAGATCACTTCTTAGCTCGGGAACTAACCAAAAGTTTTGTACTCAAACAAATTTAATTTATAGTTTTAGCTACCGGTCGCCGGTCGCCTACCCCACTGAGCTTATAGCGCGAAGGAATTGTCTACTTCCAATTAACCTCTTCTTAGGCCATAAACTCAATAATAAAAACTATTTTAATCGTCAATAAAAATATTCTTTTTCCATATTCAAAAATTCTTTTAATTGACAAGTACCAAATTATAATTGCTGCTCGAAAAATTATTATCATTCCAATTTCGACTTTAATATCTCAGTTTAAGAATCATAACTTCTTATTTTGATTGCCAAAACTCGTCAATTTAACAAAATTAATTAGGAAATTTGTTTACTGGAAATTCAACTTTGGGTATTACGTAATAAGGATAAATAGACGGTATAGTTTTAGATAGTAGGTACTGGCTTGTTGGTTTGACGTTTCCGTGGAAGCGTTTACCCCCTGTTGCGAGGAGGCAAAGGCCACGAGAGTGGGTTGGCCACGCTGTCCATAAATTGTAGGACATTACGACTATTTGAACTGTTATAACGTATTTAAGAATCAATTAAATCAATAACATTAATATTCGAATAGCATTCATAATGTCTGTCCTACTGAGATCTGTTGCCATTGATTTTTATTGAATTAACGTTATAAGTAATCATATTCTATGAGCTGTATGTGAAAATTCAATAGAGGTTCTTAACACAAATTATTAATTAAATGGGTATCCCTAGGTATTATTCAGATACCTCAATCCTTAGTATAAGAAATCTGCATAAATAACTATCTCGGTTCTATTCATTCCTTTAGCATTGAAACTTTAGCACAAAGTCGAAACCTCACCTCATACAAGAGCTGTTTTAAAAATGCATTTTTCTGTCGCAAATACTTAAACCTTTTTCCATAATAACGTTTTCATTAACATTAGAAAGTGCCTGCATAACTTGACAGACTTCTAAACAAGAAATAAATTATATTGCGTTTGGAAAAGTTTTAAACGTCACTTTATGACAACTATGCCTTGTTTACTTTCATTTTAGAACTAGCGTAGTTACACAAAAAAAAACAAATCAAAAATCAAAAAAAGAACAAACTACTGGTATTAAACAGAAGCTTTTCAAATTCAAATTCCGAACGTCTCCAGTCCGCTTAGTATTTTATGGTCAGGTTGGCCACCCTGGCGTTTCGTTTCACGCAGTGAGGTTACGCTACTGTTCAACCCCCTGTTGATAGGACACACTTACCTTATAATATTTTATCTTTACGCTAATGACCGCCCGCGACTCCGTCTGCATTTAAACTGTTTAATTTTATGTATTTATGTGTTTTTGATTAAAAAGGGAGATTTAATTTTCGTTTTTTTTTCTTCTTGTAATTATCGGTAAAAGTAATTATGATTATGTAAGGATTTTATTAAATTTTGAATGACTTCAAGAAGTCATACCTAATTGAAGTTTAATATCCTCAATAAATAGGTGATTTATTTCGTAGCTCCATTTTTAAATGAATATTGATTAAGTAGCAATACGAGTATTGAACAAGAAGTCTTCAATAAGACAAAAATTACATTAGCGCGTGCCCTTAGGCTAGATGTAGAATGTAGTTATGAATTCAAATGAAGTTTGAATTCGTTCGGAGAAGATACGTTAAATAATTTGTTGGTTCTCTTTAAACATATCTTGACTGGAAGTTTCCTCAATACTTAAACAAATCAACCAGCTGTACTATCTACTTGAAAGTTAAACCACTTGTTTTCTACTTGACTGCAACAAAGGGATAGACAAACATTTAATAATTTAAAACATAAAAACGTTACCTTCCCAATCTAGTAGCGTGGAATAGAACGTATATAAAATTCTAAAAAAGGTTTCATACTTTTTTCTTCCTTTTTAAGCATTGTTTATGGTCTGATTGGGCCAGTATTTTTGAGTTTTTATTAGGAAAAGGGATAAGTTTTATGAAGTTAAATTTTAAGTCTTGGACACTGAATTGAGGTTGATAATAAATTAGGAAGTATACTTGTAAATGATTAACTATGTATTAAGATAAAATTAACATTCATTTTACTTAACTCGTTGAGTGCCGTCAATATAGACACAATTAAAGAACAATAGGTTGCGGTCACCGGTGACCGCTCGGTGTTTGACAGTTTAAAGAACGTAAATAGGTATGTTCTTTCTCTCTGACTTAACAAAACTGTTTAATAAAATCTACCGAAATGAATTTGACATTAAAATACCTGAAACCTATCAAGTTCTGTTAGCAAAATGTTTAGCAAAAACTATCATAACTATGTACTCGATCAAAAGTATCTATTCTCATAAACAGAAGCCACAGATTATCAACGAATACAGATGAGGTTCTACAAAAAAGGCTCGTTCACAATTATGTCAAACTCAATTTGACAACTTGATGAACATGGCCGTTCAGCGTTTGACATAACTTCGTGGGTGGTCCGTCCGGCATGCGTGTAATTTTTTTTATTTTTGTTTCTAAATATATTTTTATTTCGACCACCGTAGGGCGATGACTAAGTGGCTTTCGATAACTAGCCACCGGCGAAGCGTTATAATTGGTTATGACATTTTGGCGTGTGGCCTTGAGAAATATTGATGAGAACTTCTCAACGTATATGCCCTGTGATACATTTTAAAGGGACAGGAGGTCTATAGACAGATACTTAATATTCATTCATTGGGTTTAGGTATGTTTAGGTGACTTCCCATCTTGAAAAATTGTAGGTGTGTAAAATCAATTTCCTTCCTAGGTTATCCAAGCTATGGATTGTGAAAAACTAACCAAAATCACACAACCAACCAAAGACAAAGTGAACCGTTCAAAAACGAAACCGTAAGCGCAAAATGACAGCACAAAAACTATCTCCCGCCAAAAGAACTGTCAAAGTGACATTGTGTGTGACATTACCACGAGGGTAAATAATGGTGACCCTGATGCCGTGTAGCTACCTCGGAGGGGGCGCCTCCCCACGCTGCAGCTTGGACCACGCCGAGCCAAAGGTCAGATGCATTCTGATAAGCAAACGTACGAGCTGTGAGGATTTCCATTTTCGCATAATAGATGGCGCAACTTTGACCTGAGGTCTAGATAATCGCCAAAGTCTATGGTTACGAAACTTTCCAAGGTTTCGTTCAAAAACAATTGTAATTTGGAAATCCTCACTGTGAATAAATGTTCAAGTAGAAAATTGAGTGCTTTAGATGTTGTATAGAAATATATTTTAAAACTCAATTTCGAACAAATTCGTACGATTTGACAGAACATTAATGGATCACGACACTTGCACTTTATGTATGAATGAACCTGCACAATGCACTGCACTGAATTAATTATAAGCTAGTTGTAATTAACTTTATTTGCACGGTATGGCATAATCTAATGCTTATATTGCATGATAATCTAGTTTCCTGTTTTATTTGCTTACTGTAATGGTAGTGCCCACAATCTGCAACTGAGATGAAACTATCTATCTCCTCGTCTGTTTTGTAGCATCCAGAAAATATGTTCTTCCTTTTGGAGAAAAATTGGTATTGTTCTGAACTCAAGGATCTACATTCTTGTTGTTGCTACTCAAGTTTACAAGCCAATGCATGCTCTGATCGTAAACCTTCCAGAATGACTGAATCATGACTTCCAAAGAACTCTCACGAAAGTTCGTGTTAAGAACCAATTTACCTGTTACCAAATCTATGTGACAGACATGAAGTTAAAACAATTCAAGTGACAAGACGACGAGACGAACTTTATGGCACAAGCGGCCATGATTAATATACTCGACGCGTTATCTGTCCAGCGTAACTAAAACCAAATTTTATCGTTCTCATTGTACAAAACTGTTTATGTTTTCCAAGTGGTATAGCATGGTGAGGCTTCAGATCTCATGTTACCCATTCATGGTGACCATTAAAAAGTCGTAACGTACCTACGGGACAGAGGATCGTTAGCCACCTGATACCAGGCTCTCATAACTTCGAGGCGGTATTGGCTTACATGATGGTTGATCGTTTAATTTTGGTATGCGATGAAGATTAGCGAGTAACAATGCCTAATTGCGCTGATGATTAGACTACGTGTGAATGAAATAATATCACGGTGGAATATTGTCTCCAAAATGGACTCCGAGACTGTATTGTTACTACGTTTACGTGTATAGTGACGATGATTGAGACAAAAAATATTAAAAACAAGAAACATTTTGTTAATATGAAACGATTCAATAAAGAGAGTACCTAATAAATCATCAAACACGACCGGTCACAAATTACAACCCTAAGCGCATTGACCTTAGCAACAACAGAACTGAACATAACACGAAAAATAATAGAGATATTAATTTAATTCAATGGACATTTTTAACCTATACGGTACTCATAAAATACTATAACAAAGAAACGAATAGAAGGTAAGGGAACGAAAACTAAAGCCACCCAGAGATAACAGCAATAAAAACAAATTTGTCCAAGTTGATAGCTGAACACGGCGCGATTTATCGGCCGAGATGTCTTTCTCGATACAACTTGTAAGTTCCCGCGTTTAAATCGATTGGGCTTAACTCCATTTTGTTTATGTAATCGAAAACAGACTTACTTTATGTAAGAGCGGGTAATGTGTGGTGTTTTGGCGGGAAGGAAGCGTCCATTTATGGTGGAAATTTGAAAATTAGTACTTCTTGAACTATAAAGTCAGTTGAACTATAAATGCGTAAATAATTTTGAGTACAAATTAATAGCGTTCAAAAGGTCTAAGTTACCCATAATAAATAAAAATTTGTCCATCACTTTTGCCCAATCAGATGCAAACACTTCAGAAAACGGCTTAGCAATATAAAGATTCAACAAAATATTCAAATTCGTTATTTGACAAAATGTACGAAATAATTATTTAAAAACCATACCTAAAATACGACGAAAAAAAAATTTAAACAATTTTAAAAAAACAACAACAGAAAAAAGTTTTCAATTAAATAAATGACAAGTGTCAAAACGATCCCCATTCTCACTTCAGACCATAAACAAATTACGCACCCAAACAATAAACAATGACAGATAAAAAATAAATCACTATTAAAATTGACAGTTCACGCGACAACTCGAAAAAGTCGAAGATCTTATTAATAATCGCCAATATCACATGTTATTATCAAAGATAAAACATAAAATTGGTCGGTCGATAAATTTTATAATTTATATGTTACGACGCGGGAGCGAGACGATACATCCCCGATCGTAAATATGCAGTCAGATAAAACAATAAACGAATTACGTTTAAATAAAGAAGCGTTTTGTTCTGACGCTTGTTTAGAACACAGCATGTTCTCGTTCGTAATTTAGATTTCTTTTTTATAATTACATATTTAGTAGCTTGTAGAAGGTTGAATGGAAATTAGTTTCCTTTCTGTGTTACGGCTCTTTATATAGTGGCTTAAAATTACTTATAAAACAAATCTGCCCTTCCTTCTTCTTCTTTCCTACACTTCCTTGATTGATAATATACGCACTATGGTGCTCAAGTTATTACTATCCTACACAGGTTAATGCATAAATAAGTATTAGCATAAATAAAGTTAATGACAGTCACTATCATAAACACGATCTTATCGCATTTACTGATTTGATTGACGACAATTATTTTGCTTACTGCACTTTAATTTATTCATAAAATATAATATTCAATACTACATAATTATTCATAAAATGTCCATAATGTAAATTATTAATACATTTAAAACATCTGTCAAAACAGAAGTCAAATTATATTGATGCAATAGAGATTAATAATAAAATTAGAAAAAACAAGATATTAGCATTAAATAAAACTGTAATCATGAAAAATATAGAGTTAAAACGAGCAAAATAGTAAAATATTAACATCTCGTAATAAAATAATTCAAAATGACACAGCCTGTATTCAACCGCCCGTTCAGGCGCGTTGTCGCCGCGTAAAACGTATAAATTAGCCCGAGTTATCGGGAGATCGGGCGGCCTCACACCTCGAGAGGAATGCGCCCGGTGATTTACGTCCTTTCTCACACGATACCTCCTTCGGATCACTGTGGTCTTGGTAGCGAGCTTAAGAGATGAGGCGGTCATTAGGAGATGTTTTGGTATTTTGTTAGTATACTTTATGGAAAGTTCGAAAAATCTGTAGGACTTGTAGAAATGTTCGACTTTATGAATAAGAAAAATCAAGGAAATTACCTTATCATAGTTACGACACTTCAAGAGGAATGCGCACATTTCTCACACGATACCCCCTCGAGGATCACTGTAGCCCTGGTAGAGCGCTTGATCTTATCCGTTCATCAGGATTTTTTGATATATTTATAACAATAGATAGAACAACTTAGGCAAATCTGTATCTACAAAAAAAAAATAGAAGTTACTAGGTATATCGACCAGTAGTAGAATTTATTTTTGCAACGCAAATGGCAACATTCTGAAAAAATCTTGATAATTATGGAAAATGTAATTGTTAGATGTGGAACCTACCAGAACCTATTCCGAAAATATATTAAATTATCCCCAAAAATAGAAAACGGACCAAAACCGTAGCCTAACCCGATAATTGGTGACGTCACATCACCCGGTTTTCGGTTCACTTCAGCATTTTATTAATGTTGTTAAGTTAATCTTGATCGAACGAGGTGACAGTTAAGACTCTTATTATTTATAACTAAACGTTATCTCAAATCTCGGTTAGTTTTAACTTCTACACCGTTATGTTACGTTAACCGTTTCATTGGTAGTTAGGTCTGAGTTATTTACATACCTATGTAGTTATTGGTTGTAGTTAATAGTTATTGATAACAAAAATATGGTTTAATATTTTTAAAGTTACGTGCTTAAAAGCCCTTGAGTATGTAATAGCAGTCAATTACTAATATATTTATTTCATATTATTTTCTTTTAAATGTTGAACCACAATCGTATTTAATTCTGTTTTTCTGTCTATCCGTAAATAATACATAACAATATAAAATAATCTAGATATAAAATAGTCTTATCTTTAACCTACATGACCTAGGTTTACTATCTAAAGTGGGTCATCTCATTAATATGTAATTATAAACAAATGAATAAACATAATTGTCAACAATAAACAAATTAATACATAACAAAACTAATATGTTGACCTAGGCAGACCAAGGCTTTCATTATGTCAATTTATATTATGTCTATTTGTTTATTTATTTACTCAAATAATAAATTATTATTAATAAATAAATTATAATTAAAAATTATGTTGATTACACCATAAAGTTAACATAATTTTTATTCATATAAAATTCACTTATGTTGAATTGTTGCAAATGCGACTATCGAGTGTTAGGTGCCTTTTTTAAGGAGGGGAAATCAGCCAATGACTTCTCCCACCTTGGGTGAGACGAGTGGGAGTGTCATACACCTGTTTTGAACCGGAACCCATTAGGCTGTCCACAACCAGAGTGAGGTGCCTGGGTTTTGAATGCGGGTTGATTAATAGAAACAATCTTTCGAACATAGAAAGCCTAGAATCCTAGAATACTAGACTGGTTTCTACTTCCCGTTGTTAGGCAGTTTGCAGGTGGGGTTTAAAAAATAAGAAATATTGTAGATGTTTTAAGAAATACTACATTAATGAAGAAGTAATAATACCTACGTCGAAAAGATTTAGGATAACTAAAATGTGCGGGCGAAAATTTTGGCGGTTGGCGCCGTGAGTGAGCCTGACTGAGCCTGCTGCTACGTGTAGCGGGATCGATTCCCGCATGTTGTGTGGTGTGATCTACAAATTGTTATTCCGGGTCTGGGTGTCATGTGTACGTGAACTTATATGTTATATGATTGTAAACGCACCAATGACATAGTAGAAAATCCAAGTGTCACGGCAACGTTTTTATTTAAAAAAAAAAAACAATTATTCTTATATGGGCAATTAAACAAAAAGGTTGTTGTTTTAAATTATCATTTTACCATTAGTCGAAAAAAACTCACAGCTGAACAAAGACCTCCAATTTCATGGTTAAGATTATCTAACTAAATTAGTTTAATTTCATATTAATGTACAGTTTGCGATAAGAAGCATCACTGATGGTATCATCTAAATGTCAATGTAATCATTTTAAATGATTTTGTATATAATAACGAGGAATGCATTACATTACCAGCCGGTGTAGGTCAGGTTTATATTTACATTTATTCAATATTCATAAAAATATACGCTTTATATTAAATAATATGTTGCAATATGAAACACTAATTAAGTGGAAACAAGAAAAAGGGAAAATGTTAAATAAATGTGGGAGAGCCATGCTTCGGCACGAATGGGTCAGCTCGACCGGAGTGATATCATGGCCTCACAGAAAACCGACGTGAAGCAACGCTTGCATTGTGTTTCGTCGTGTGAGTGAGGTTACCGGAGGCCCAATTACCCTCCCCTTCCCCAATCTCCCCAATTCCTGAATCCCCAACAATCCTCAAACTCCTAATCCCCGAAATGCCGGTAACGCACTTGTAACGCCTCTGGTGTTCCAGGTATCCATGGGCGACGGCGATTGCTTACCATCAGGTGCCCCGTCTGCTCGTTTACTGGCTTATGCCATAAAAAAATGTTGTGATGAGAACTACACTATTGTTTCTTAACCTACATTTCCTCCTGCTTCGTAGATTCGTTAGCAAAATACAAACACTGGATCGCTCATCACACCTATCGCGTCCAGACACGGCACTGATGGCACAACAATTTCCAGATCATGTAAAGAGTTTACACCACGCATCTGATTACCCAGCCGGTATTGCAGGCCTAAACAAAACACTTACTTTTTTATTGATGACCAGGGAAACTTTCAAAAGATGTCCTATTTTTTGGGCGTAAGACTAAGGACTGTGGGTTTTCTACTTCTCTAAAACCAACCCGGTGGTCCTCATCATCATCTATCAGGAAGTACTCCCCCTTTATAGACTCGGAACTAAAGAAACTATCGTACGATATCTGCTAAGGTGCATCCCTAGGGTGACTAGGGTTCACTAACATGTGCCTGTCTGGCTCCAAATAATTTAAACCATTACTTATACTTCTAAGTAAAGTAGACCAGACTGAATAAAAACAAATAAATCTAGTTCAAGGTCGCACAATTCGAATTTTGAATCCTATTAAGAATAATAAACTTTAGATAAAGCCTAATTTATGAGGTTACACAGATAAATAAGATTATCAGAGATCGACATCTTTTTATTATCTGTAGCCTTCCTCATCTATGGTAATTAAAAATTCAAGTAGCACAGATAACTGATTGCGATAAATGATTCATTATCATCTCAAGTAGATCATGTTGCGTCATTTTGGAAGATAACAGATTTTGAAATATTTTTGGAATAAATTAGATGTTTCTAAAAATTAAGAAAACATAATAATAGGCCTTTTATTTTCCGCAGCTCTGATGAGCACATAAATACGTGCGTAGGTAACACTATATTTAATTTCATTCAGTACTTTTTTAATATGATATAGCTCGTTCTTCTCCATAGGAATTTATACTTTGGAACGAGCAAATAGCTTCACTAGAGGACTGACCTACAGACTGACATTTTTTCTTATTATTTAATATTTAAATATTTTGTTTTGACGTTTAAAAGTGCCTTCCTGGTCTAGTTGAAATAAATGATTTTGACTTTGACTCGGCAAACTAGCAGACGGATCACCTGACAGTAAGCAATCAACGCTGCCGATGGACATCCGAAACACCAGAAAGTTACAAGTGCGTTACCGGCCTTTTGCAGGGTTTGGAATTTGAGGGCGATAGGCGGTTTAGGGAGATGGGAGTTTTTTTTATTTTTTTTTTGTTCTTTGGCAACCGAGTCTCCAAAACGATGTTGTCGTTTTTACGTTAAAGAGCAACAAACATATATACAAATTCAAAGCATTTATTTCAATTAAACCATAATTTGGTACTTTTGAAACGTCAACAAATACAAAATAAATAATAGTCTGTCAGTCAGTCCATTCCAAAATTTAGATTCGAATGGAGAAGAAAGAGAAAGAAACTCCATTTGTTACTCTTTTTAAAAATGTATGATCTATAATGTCTCTGATACATATTCCTACTTGCATGCATCCTAAAAGACTTTCACATTCATAAATGTAGTCTTTGTAATCGCAAAACAAAAATGTTATCCTTTTTTCTATGTGTTGTTAATTCTCATTCGGCCATTCTACCTTTGTCCCTGCTCATGAAGTCATGACACATGTATGTCTAAATTCGTTCACTTAGCATCCCGGTGACATCGGCAGTGGACAATAATGACCATTCTTCGTTCCGTACAATGTGCTTCCGAGAAGGGCAAGAGATGTTTGGGAAAAAATGTCGCTAAATACAAACGAGTGGAGGTGACTGGTTCTATTAATGGGCTGGTAGTAAGTTTCAAATCAAATCAAATCAAATCAAATCAAATCAAATTTATTCGCAAAAACATGTGTATACATACACACACACGCAGGTGCATGTATGTAGGATGATAAAAAATAGAACAGTTGCACTTAATACATGTTTACCACTTGTCATGGCATGCAAATTTTTTTGTAAGTAATAATCATATTATCATCGTTAAATATTTATAAATGTCAAATAAAATTGTATGTAGGTAGGTATGTCAAAATTAAAATTATAGATACAGATAAGTCATAATTAAATTCGTACAATATGTCATCACATAACCAATGAAACAATCACAACCAATAAAATAATCATAATTTATAAAATAATAGCCATGTCTTACTTAAATCAAATAACTGTGTCATTTAAGAATTCGATGACACTATAGTAGACCTTCTGTAATAAAAAAAGTCTAAGCTTTCGCTTGATATGGTTGGCACCTAGTTCTCTCCATGATTTTGGCAATTTGTTAAATATTATAGGTGCCATGCAAAATACATTTCTGCGCATAAGCGCGGTCTTACAAGGATGAAGACAAAAGACGAACAAGTTTGATATTGTAGTGAGTAGATAATTATTTGGAAATGTAATTAAATTTACTCTTATCTTTTATTTAAACCTTCTTTTTTGGAAACAAGAACTATTATGGTACCGATTTCAAAACCGCATCATTGTCGAACTATCTTTAGGCCTGAGTACCAGGAAGACATAAACATAAGTAGGTTGTATGATCCACAGTTTTTAGTTTAAGTGTGATCACTATTATACCTACTACTTTTGCACCAACCGCGTATTTGCAGAAAGCAAATCTGAATATTCACCATTACGTGTCGAGTTCACTAGATCCTTAGCACGCTTTGCACGTTGCATGAGAGCTTTATACTTTTTAATTTGACACCAAGATGTTCTTAGCCTTATTTCCGTCTATGTTTGTTACAGGCAAAAAGGCCAAGACCTGACACGGGCACCGATGTATCGGATCGGTAAGTAACAGCATTTTATAAATTTCAACTAACTAATTCTGATTATATTTTACTGGCACTAAGCCTGGTACGTGGTAGTAACTGCGACCCTTCTTAGCGAAGTCTAGGTTTCGATCCCTGATTAATACTCGGATCGAAGAGAAACTCGGGTTCCTCGTCAAGACATATGATTTCATCAATTACCATTTAAAAAGTTATTAATCGATTGTTAAATTGCACTCTAACATAAACTATAAACATGAAGTTATGAATGTTAGGTCTGTGCGTTTAGCCACGCTATGCACACAATTTAAAACTATTTTTCTCTGTTCATTGTCTCCGCCTCTTTTTAATTTACTGGTGGTATATTATAAGGGTGAATTGTGTATTATATTAGCTAATCAATATATAATGTTACGCCTGTTTTTATTAGGGGGGTTGCAGTTGACAGAAATTAGGACACTTTATAATAATAACTTAATTCGATGTAGGCAATTGGAAAGAAGCCAATCGAAATTGGGATCATTCTGGCTAGTTCTAAATCTCACATTAATCAAAAACGAATCAACGTTTTTTGAAGTCAATCACTATCTAGTGAGATTGACTCCTGATACCTTTCCACAAATAATATCTGCTTTCGTAAATATTTTTCAAAACATTATTTGCACCAATTACAATAACATATTGAATTTTCCTTCCACCCCAATACTTAAGACCTCTCTGTCTGTCCACTAGCAAAACACTCAACAGTTTAATCAAACGCATACATATTAGGGTATCAGCATTCAACAAGCACTCAACTCCACTCATGCTACAAAATTAAAGTTTACACCAAAATAGAGGCTCGTGACCGTCACAGCTCTTCAAAACACAATGCGAAGGGTTCTTAATCCTCTGTAATCCTGGTATTGTAAGCGCACAATTGCCGGGAAAAGAGCTACTTAATAAAACTACTGCACGCCCCCTGTCCATATTATCACGCCGTCATCAAAGGAAGCTGGCACACAATAAGGTTTTATGTTACATTACGAATTTCTATCTTTAAATAGATTTTTGAGATTTTTTTGCAATCGGGCTGATCTGATCTGATCTGATTGTTGGTTTTTTTGGATTAAGCTGGTGCTGGTCGTAGTAGGTATAGAAGCGGCTTTTTGTTTTATCATAATCATGTTTCATAAAACACGGGACATTTTATTAGTGTTCAAGGTCTAGTGAATCTTCATCATCATCATAATCATCTGCCCGTATTCGTCCACTAGCCCGTATTCGTCCACTGCTGGGCATAGGTCTCTCCAATAGCACGCCACTGAGGTCGGTCTTCAGCTCTTCTCATCCAACCACTACACGCTACCTTGAGGAAATCGTCACTCCACCTAGCTGGAGGGCGCCCTACACTACGTTTGCTTAGGCGCGGTCTTCACTCTAGACTACGTTTACCCCAATGGTTACGGTTCTTCGACAAAATAATGTGACCGGCACACTACCACTTCAGCTTACTAATCCAAAGTCCAAGAGATCCAAGTTAGCCCAAAGGCTATGTCGAAAACTTTGGTTCTCTGTCGGATCACTTTATTTCGGATTTGATCCTTCAAAGAGACTTCGAGCATAGCCCTCTCCATAGCTCGCTGCGTGACCTTAAATTGATAAATCCATAAATTGCAGTACCTAATAAATCTTAGTTTGACGTAAAGTATTCATCTGTTAGTAAATACTGAAAAAATAGGAAAAAGATTATTGAAAATTGTTTCTAGGAGGTCTTTTCTGTTCTTTGCGAAACGCTAATCTGTCTATCCAATGTCAGGCCAAGAGCAAGAGTTTCTCTAATTACAAAAATATAAATAAAATTAACAAAACAAAAATTAGTCAAGAGCAAATAGATTAGTTGACAATACTAACTTACGTTGTTTTTTTTTCTCGTGTCACCTCAACATAATTTATGATCGTACTCGCTGACAAGCTTTCTGCTTTCACAAAAAATAACATGGCGATAGCAAGCATTTACACAAATTATTTATTTTAATAGAAATAATTAATCTTCATAAACCTACTGTTTATTAAAATTTATTTTGATTTTTAATTCCATGTACAGAAAACAATATTTTATCAATCGAAAACACAGAAAAAAATGCGTTTCGAAAATTCTTTTGCGGCGCGAACGTTTAAAAAAAGAACAGCGTTTGGCATTTGACGGGCGCATTCCGTTTTAGCCAGCATATTAGTTAGGTTAATTAGTAGTTAACATGACATTCCTAACTTTTTAAGCGTTCTTCGCCATTGGTTCAAAATAAAATAATGAATGGTAGAAAATAATGATCCGAAGTGTGTTTTGAGCGATATAAATCAATTTTTTGACGCGATTCCGTTACGTTATGCGTTATATTTTTTTACTTACGTCAAGCAGGATCTGAAGTATCGTATGTCTTGAGTGCCGAGTCTGTTGATGTTTTGTTGTTATTTTTTTTTATATCCTCCCGTACGTTCAAATATGAATGGAACTCATTCTATTTCTTCAAATGTTTTTAAAAAGATAACAATTTTGACGTTTGTTTTTTTTTGTGTAGCGCTTCGGCATTTTTTTGAGTTCGCGTCATTCTGTGTTTTAATCTTAATTAATATGGATGTAAAATTTATTACCTACCTAATTTCTATAATAAGTCAATAGTTAACAAAGAATCTAATCCATATTACTAATTTATTTTATTTACTTTCTTTTGTCGTTGTTGTCTTTAAATTGTCTGCACGGTTGGTGCGGTGGCTGGGCAACCGGCTGCCGTGCAACGTGTCGCGGGTTCGATTCCCGCACGGGACAACACTTTGTGTGATCCACAAAGTGTTGTTTCGGGTCTGGGTGTCATGTGTATGTGAACTTGTATGTTTGTAAACGCACCCACGATACAGGAGAAAATCCTAGTGTGGGGCAACGTTTTTTAAAAGAAAAAAAAAAAAAAATTATGTCGATAATCTTTTTATATTCTAATTATCGACATTCGTTAATTTTAACTTCTAGTTAATATTTTTCGCTGACAAAATTAAGTCACTTAAGATATTAATTACATTTTTTAAATTAAATAGATACCTACGTATCTACTCAATCATTATACACTCACAAAAATTAAACAGAACTAAACCCAATTTCTAGTAGCAGTAATAAATTAAAATATTTATTTTTAACCCTTACATTACTCATTTCAGACATCTGTAAGTTTTTTTTTGTGACAAAAAAATTTGGCAGATGACAAAAAATGCAATTAATAGATTTTTAACGCCAAGTTGACACGTGGCGACCAAATGGCGGGAAGGGCCACCGATTTCGGGATCCTTAGTGATTATAATGATTGTTTTGGTTTAGAAATATGTACTTCTAGATAAGGCTCATCATCAGCCCGTTTTTATCTTCTGTAAAAGAGTGGCACGCTACTGAACTTGGTCTTCAACTCCTTGTATCCAATCGTTCTCAACCGCTTTTTAGTTATCGTCACTGAACCTAGTTAATAAAAGGGTTTTTTTAAGAGGGGATAATCATCGAATGACTGCTCCCGACTGGGTGAGGCGGGAGGGAGTGTCAGACTCTTACTGACTAAAAACCACCCCGTTCCTTCTCCGGCACGTCGAGCCGAAGCCCCGGTAACCCGTTAGGTTCTCCGCGACTAATAAAAGGGTTATGTTTACCTATGTAGAGTTTAACAAGCTTCATCAGTCATCAGTTATCAGTAAGAGAATTATCGTCATCTAACACAAATAACCCATCTAATAATAGGTACCTAGCTCATTTTCATAATAGGTCAATAACACGTGGTAACAGTTACTCTTTTATTTGTACCAACCTGTCACCAGCTACCTATACCGAATTCTGCTTTTTAAACAAATCGTCCTTATCGTTTTGTCATAAAGTCTAAAATCTGTTATAAAAATACAGATTGGGGTATCTTGGAGTGCCATGAGTACCAGGGCACCATCAAGAACAAAGAGTCTCTTCACGAAGTGCGCCGTATTTTGCTCCTGTCAAAGGGCACTGAGGGTTTATTGTTTCGCTCTTAAAGTAAAGTTTATGCTTCAGAATTGGTTATTACACTATATAAATACGTGCCTTTTTAATTTAGTGAGCTGTTGTACTGTATGGACTTTTATTGTCTTTGTTGTGTGGGTTTTAAATGGTACGAGCCGTGAAATTAAAGGATTTGCTCGTCTTAAGTACTTAGACAGAATTATAACCCTTCGATACTATAACATGTAGATACTGGGCCAAATTACTACTTTTTGAACAATCAGTGGTCTGAAAAAATAAGACGTAGGTAGTAAATTATAAACAAATGTATCAGTAGAAACTTCCATCGGAAAAAGGTTATTAACACAAAAAGCAGTTGGTCTCCCATGACTTATTTACCAAACCTCAGCAAGACTTTCTGTCAAAAATTTAAAATCAGCATGGAAACCATTCAACAAATCAAAAGACAACATCTTAATCGCCGTGGCCGCATATTTCAAACGCCAATTCACCCGGAACATAAAACTAAAAATGTGACAACTATCTTCGCGCCATATGGAATGTCAAGCATGGCGGACTATTAAAACGTTTGAAGTCTTTTGTTGGGACTAAATTAACGACATTTTACGATGACTACCGCGAGTAAAAAGTAAAAAGAATTCATTGAAAAAGAGCCGAAAACATAAAAAAAGCTTTCAATTAAAAAGATAGTGACAATGCTAAACATTAACTGTAAAATTCCGGCGTTTGATATATGATAGTGTTGTTCCAATCGCCGAAGTGAAGCGAAAGTGACACTTGAAAAAGGCGCGAACTAATATAAACAAGAGCCATGTTTTAGACAAAGGCACACCGGTGTTCAGCCTCTTGATTTTATAAATACTGTATTATTTACTGTTCATAATTATTGCTAGTCCAGTTTTATTTATGTTATAGAAATAAATCAGATTGACGAAGACTTTGATGTAACCGAATCTCGATTCTTATGTTCTTTTGAATACGATTAATCTTTTGTTTGGTATCGTGTTCGGATTTT